GCCCAAGTTTGCCTGGAACAAGATTTGACACTTCCCTTCAGGTAAAATGAGACTCCCGTGTTCCCATCTGATGCTTGTAGCATCAGCCATAGCCATTTCCAAATTCTCAGAGATGCATTTTGAGTAAAGGTTGAATTCCATCTCTACGGATATTCCAGACAAACTGGGATTACCAGAACACCAACAGCAAAAAAGGAAGACAATCAGTTTCTTGTGCACACCATGTACAAAAGCACTCTAGCATAGACTAGTGCCCACCAGGAGTTCCCTGCTTTTCAGAAAAATAAAATCTTGCTTAGTATGGAACAATGGGGGACAGTAGGCATTCAGGGGGACAGCGGGCACCTTACATTACATAATACTCCCTCCCAAAATCACACACAAACCTGTCATCACACTGATTTGCACATACAAGCTCATACAACTTCATACAATTCAAATATGAGAAGCTGGTTCCCATGTTATAACACAGACATGGTAAATACCTTTTCAAGGATAAGTATAGTACATGAAACAGTCTTCATGGGTGCAGTTAGCAAAAGCAACAGCAAACGAACAGTTAGCCAAAGTTATAGGGACATACAAGTCACATAAACACACCAATAAAATGAGAACAGTGACGAAGCAGTCCCCATAGAGTATCTGTTTAAACGTCCAAACACAGAGGAACATGGGCAGGATATTATTTTACTCTGTGGTTATACAGATCTTCAGCTATAACTGCCTGTCCAAAACTTATCAAAGAAAACGTATTCCAGGGCAATGTTGACTTTTTTTAATGGAGTTATATTAAATGGAATTGCATGAGCAGTAGAAATTCAGTTAAGGTAAGCTTTTCCCAGCACAGCAAAGGAAACAGAACCACATGCTGAATTTCTGCTTCTGACGCAGATACTTTTCTAAGAAAAAAAGCTGGGAACACAGATTATCAATGGCATTTCAAAATACAACAGCAGTATTTAGTATGTTACATGAAAAATCTCAACATATAACTTTTTGGGGTGGTTAATCTATCTCAGGCAAGCACTTACATGAATAAAGTCAGCAGAAACCGTTATCCTTGTAGAAACTGGTAATAGTACCATTGTAGCTATAGGATTTTCTGTTTGTTTGTTTGTTTCTTCACATTTATAGCCCACCCTTCCCAGAGGCAGGCTCAGGTTGGTTAACGACACTTCATTTATACAAAATACATTAGTTAATACAATAAAATTCAAATTTAAAACATCTTCATAAATATTAAAATGGTGGTCACAGCTGATAACAACAACAAAAAAATCCCTGGTTCTGGGAGGTTCCTGGCCATAGCCAGTAGTTGTTAACAGAGTGACAAACACCTCAGGGAGGCCATATCTGGACATCCACTGCCTCAGCCAAAGGCCTGGTGGAACAGCTCCATCTTGCAGGCCCTGTAGAATTGAAGTAGATCCCGCAGGGCCCTGATCTCAGTGGTGAGCATGTTCCTCCAGGGCAGGGGCCAGGGCAGAAAAGGCCCTGGCCCTGGTTGAGGCAAGATGGATGTCTTTTGGGCCAGGGACTTCCACGTGTTGATCCATAGAGTGTAGTGTTCTTGATTTCCTGGTTCACACACATTGTTGATTTCCTGGTCCACGAACATTACAGTTCTTAGCATGTGCCTGAGGTCTGGCCTGCTCGTGTGCACAAAAAACACACACAGAGATTAATCAACTCTTTAAAAAGGCATTGGGATTTCATTGTGTTTGCTTTAAAAAATCTTTTGTGAACATCTTTTTGTAAGAGCCACCATGTGTCCACTTTACAAATTAAACTAGTACCTGTATAAATGTGTGGTTTCAATCACACATTCACTATAAGCATGCTGAATATAATATGAGAATTACTTAATGCACATATAGAGAAAAACCAGGTGTATACTGTTCCACCAATTGTTTGTGCATTCAGGAACTTGTGAACAGGGCTAGTGGTGTTAATCAATATAGGGGTCGTTCTTAAAGTGCATAGAGCTCCAGTCCAGCGTTAATTGCTTAAAACTGACAGTGCAATCCTATGCAGAGTTTCTCCAATCTAAGCCCATCAAAATCAGTCGACTTTGACTGGAGTAACACTGCACTGTGTTACAGTTGCTAATTCCAGTTTTGGAAACTGCTGGAGATTTAGGGGTGCTCCGTGAGTAGGGCAGACTTAGGTGAAAGGTAGCCGATCAGCAGGGATGTGATGCCACAGTGTGTACAATCTGAAGTTACCATTTCCTACAGGAAAACTGATCTCTGTAGTTTGGCGACTAGCTAAAATTCCGGGATATCTCCTGATCCCACCTGGAGGTTGGCAGCCATTCAGAAGAGACATCTCCTGAAAATAAGGTACAACCAAGTGGCCCTGTCTGCTGCCAGCCATAGTTCTACCGATTATATGGATAAATTCAACTCCAGGCTTAAGCAAACCTCACCTTGCCGTTAGTCGGCGGTTCCTGGATGTAAATGTTGCTCATGATGTGAACTTGGATACAGGCCGTTCACTGCGCGAGTATTATGCCACAATTACGCTGGAAACACAGATTCTCTCATCATCTCCACGGTAAGAAGACCCACTTGCCGGGAGGAACTTGCCGCCATGTTTTCAGCTACCATCTCACACGAAGAGGGGGGGTGGGAGGGAAAAGTTCCCCACTCTCCGTCCATAATATGAGAATTGAATTACTTAATGCACATATAGAGAAAAATCAGGTGTATACTGTTCCACAAATTGTATGTGCGTTCAGGAACTTGTGAACAGGGCTCGTGGTGTTAATCAAAACAGGGGTCGTTTTTAAAGTGCATAGAGCTCCAGTCCAGCGTTAATTGCTTAAAACTGACAGTGCAATCCTATGCAGAGTTTCTCCAATCTAAGCCCATCAAAATCAGTCGACTTTGACTGGAGTAACACTGCACTGTGTTACAGTTGCTAATTCCAGTTTTGGAAACTGCTGGAGATTTAGGGGTGCTCCGTGAGTAGGGCAGACTTAGGGGAAAGGTAGCCGATCAGCAGGGATGTGATGCCACAGAGTCTATCATCTGAAGTTACCATTTCCTACAGGAAAACTGATCTCTGTAGTTTGGCGACTAGCTAAAATTCCGGGATATCTCCTGATCCCACCTGGAGGTTGGCAGCCATTCAGAAGAGACATCTCCTGAAAATAAGGTACAACCAACTGGCCCTGTCTGCTGCCAGCCATAGTTCTACCTTCGATTATATGGATAAATTCAACTCCAGGCGTAAGCAAACCTCACCTTGCCGTTAGTCGGCGGTTCCTGGATGTAAATGTTGCTCATGATGTGAACTTGGATACAGGCCGTTCACTGCGCGAGTATTATGCCACAATTACGCTGGAAACACAGATTCTCTCATCATCTCCACGGTAAGAAGACCCACTTGCCGGGAGGAACTTGCCGCCATGTTTTCAGCTACCATCTCACACGAAGAGGGGGGGTGGGAGGGAAAAGTTCCCCACTCTCAGTCGAGTGAAAGACCTCCCCACCCAGCATTACCGAAAACAAAATGAGCCTAAAACAAGAACTTTATGAGCCCGATCTGCGCTACAATCCTTAGCACCATCATCGCCTTAGTAAACCCACCCCCCGATATTGGTACAGCCCGCTGCGTTCCCTGCAAAGACTTCCGACCGAAACGCGCTGCCTTGGATGTTTTTGTCCGAGGACTCAGGGGCGTGGAGTTGCTGGCTGTGCTGGGACTGGAGGAAAAGTGAAAGTAACGGGGGAAGGGTCCGGAGTATAAGAACGCGACGCTATCATGTTATGCATCTTCTCCTGGAAGTGAGTCCTGTTGAAGTCGATAGGATTTCTCCTCAGCAGCTGTGCATAGGCTGGAAATGGGAAGGATTTGTTTCGGAGCGAATGTGCAAAAGCTATAAACCAATTCTTTCTGCTTGGATAAGAGGGAGTGGGTACAACTCTTCCTCCAGCATGTGTGCAACCCAGACTCTTTAAATAAACGAAACAGACGACTGCTTGAAAATGCTATTAAAAAAAAAAATCGGTCCACCATTCATTTGAATTAGATGTTTTAAAATGTAGACACCTTCATGCTGTTGAGATCTGAAGTCAAGGGAGCAACACGGCCAATTTAATTTCAGTAACTCATAAAACATATTTAGTTAATAATTCTAAATGATTCATTTGTGGTTTAATGATTAGTGTTCGGGTAGAATCTGGGAAGTCTGGCTTCAGATTCCTTCTGCCATGAAGCCCAATGGATTCCTTGGGGGCAGGCACTCTAACCTACCTCAACTGAATCTTACCTCGACAGAACAAATTTAGAGTCCAGTGGCACCTTTAAGACGAACACAATTTGATTCAAGTCATGGACTTTCGTGTGCACGCAGATTTTCAGATCTGAACAACTGTGCGTGCACACGGAAGTTAGTACCTTGAATAAAACTTCGTTGGAAGGTGCCACTGGGCTCTACATTTGTTCTACTTCTTCAGACCCACACGGCTGCCCACCTGGGTCTACCTCAACAGAACTGTTGTGAAGACACAGAGAGGAAAGAAGGCGCATCTATGCCACTCTGAGCACCTTAGAGTGGTACCAAATAGACTGGGTAAATAGACTGAGGAGGATTTACATCGCAGTCATTACTACAAGCACGCATGGGACATCAGGCGGCAAGCTCTCCCTGAGCTTCCCGTGTCTTTTCAGAAAACAAACGGCCCTGCACCTCCATGGACCTGCAACACTATCAGTCAATCAGGAAACCCGCCTCTCTTCGCTAGGATTAGTTGACGAGAAGGGCAGCCTCATTTCTCAGGAGGACGGGTGGGACGCTGGAGCGGAATTATGTGATGCGGACCTGAAAAGCCTTCTCCGTCTCTTAGCGAGGAGACTCCCAAGTGTCCCTCACACTATCGTGTCGGTGAAGGAGGACTGCCTGGGTGCTTTCAGAGCCCCCGCTTGCCTGATCCGCGACAGTGTTCTCGGTCTCCCCTTTCGTTCTCTTCCTCATGGTACTCCTCTTGGGGTTCCGCTCAAAGTCTTCCGGCGGAAAAGTTTCGCCACCGCGGAGGTGCCCAACCGAGAGCAGGATCCGGCGAGGAGTCAGTGAGGGGCTTGTTGGGGTTTGGGGGCTTTATGGCGCTGCCAGGTGAGACGCCGAAGGTGGAGTGGGAGGAGGGTCAGCCGGGACAGCCTTGCGCGTTTGCGAGAGATCGCGGGGGAAGGACACTGCTTCTCTTCACCGCCTTTCGCTCCTACCGAGAGAGTAACGTGACTCGAAGGGCTGGAATCCTGGGTTGTGAGTGTTGGAAACATCTGACAAATGCCAAATGTCCAAAATCCCCATCAATTTAGTTTAATTTAGTAGCATTTGGCATTCAGGGTTTTAATTATGTACTTCCAAGAAAAACCAATGACTGGAAAAACTTTATAGCAACTTTTTGCCCTGTGCCCCACGTTCATTAAGGATCTAGCCTGATGTTAGGAGGTATGAAAAAAGCAGAGGAGTGAATACATAGGAGAAAAACGCTCCCTCCAGCTCCTTCCTACAACAAAGGATGTGTATAACCCAAACTCTTAAAATAACTGAAACAGAAGACTGCTTGAAAATGCTATCTTAAAAAAATCTGTCCACAATTTATTTTAATTAGATCTTTTAAAATGTAGATATCTTCATGCTGTTGAGATCTGAAGGATCTTGAGAGTAATATTTTAAAGGCGGCAGAAAAGCTATGGATTTTAAAAAATCCTTGTTGCAAATCAGCTTGTCAGACAGAACTTTTTCATTTGCAGATCCTGTTCTAGATCATGGACAATTGTGCGTGTGTTTCTTCTTCTTATATATTTTGCATTATCTTTAGTATCTGAGAGCAGAAGGGGATATGCTAGGTGATTGTTTGGGTGGCCTAAAAGGCACTCAGTGTTAGTGCCAAGTAACCCTCATTTTTCAGCTGAAATTGTCCTAAATGAGTGAATGAGGAAAGATGCAAGTTAGAAGATGCTTTTACTAACAGAGACAAGAGGGAGTGGGGCAGAGTGATATATAAGTCTAAGGTCAGTTCCCGGTTTTAGAGAGCCCTGGGAGAGAGTGTCAGTGCCCCTACTCGCATGGTCTCTTCAACACCTGCCTGTCTGCCTCCCACTGCCCAGCCCTGCATTGTTTCCTGCTTTCTTGTGAGCCCTCCCACTGCCTGTGCTCCCAGCAATGCACAATGCATGGATGTTCTGGCCCCAGCAGTGCTGGGCAGCATATGTGGCCAGGACTGTGGGTGGATGGAGGGCTTGCAAGTGAGGGGGGCTAGCAGCTTTGGGCCCCACTGGAAACCTTGGACCCTGGCAGCTGGCCTACCTTGAGGTATACTAAGGCCAGCTTTGCAAAAATAAGCCATCTGTGCGTTTTCTTTTCTTTGAAGATCATTACAAGTATTATAATTACTCTCTTGAGGTAAGTTAGCCTGAAAGGGTACAATTAGCCCAGGTAACCCACCGAGCCTGGTTTGCCATTGCCTGCCTCTGCAAAGTCTTTCTTGGTGGTCTCCCATCCAAGTACCAACCCAATTTAGCTTCTGAGACCTGACGAGATCGGGCTATGCTATACCATTCCACAATCCACATCTCCCAAAAAGGCTCTATATAAAAGACTAATTTTGTTGGAATGGGCCACTGTGAACTTACAGATATTTTGAAAGCAACACATGTTCTACACATATGTACAATAGGCTCTATATCAGAGCACCATGGCAGCTTGCTGACACACTGTGAACTTACAGATATTTTGAAAGCAACACATGTTCTACAAACTTTTACATAGTTTGATGAGATGGTTTTCATATTTTCAGTGGCTTATAGGAACAGCTGTTCCCAACCAGTTAAGGAATGTGTAACCTAAGTGGAAGTTATGACTGCTATTAACAAAGTGTTGGACTTGTAACAACTGACAGCCAGGTAGTGATGGATAGTACCTGTTCTTTTAGCTTTTGTTCATATGTTAACTTCCTTTCCAAACTTGTTTGACTTGGCAGTTCTTGGGACCTATCAACATGAGCCATCAGTTTTGCTAGTCTTATTTCCCCCCATCTCTATTATTTGTAAGTTGAAAATTAGTTTTTGAGGTCAAGTGGTGGTTGGAAGGAGCGATGAATTGAGTCCAATATTGTTTGGTCATAAAATTATGGCTGAAAGGTTCCTCCTAGCTAACTGCTTCTTAAGGCAAGGTTTATAATACTTAAAATGTACAACAGGAAGAAGTCTGAGGATATATTATTGAAAATTTCAGTGCAGTGTACAGTTTAGTAACTTTACATGACCATTATAACAGCAAATAAATTAACTGAATATATGCGAAACTGGGGAAATTGTGCTTGGGTGATCACGTGTGTGTCTGTAATTTTCCATCTTTCCCAAAGTTAACATGAAATCTGGTGGGTTTTTTTCAGGAGGAAATAAAGATAACATCAGGGCCGGGTGCAAAAAATGTGGCTATCGTAAGTATCAGCACGCATTTAAAGTTATCTGTAAGCATTGCCTGAGATTTTAGAATGGTTAAACATTACTAGCTCAGTCTTACATTACCTGGTTGCAGCAATCCTTGAATACCTGACACTGAACTGGAAAGTAAAGTGGAATTGAAAATAAACTGTAATAGTAAGCCACAATCCTCAGAACTATATAAGCCACTGTTGTGAAACTTAGTGCAAAGTTAATTTTTAGTATCTTTCAGTTTTCTGTACAGTTACAGTCTCAATGCTTGGGACATATTGAGGGATAGTGAGAGCAGCCACTATCTTGATCCCCCCCCCCCACCTCCCAATATGACTGCTTCCTAAATGCTGAAAGGAGTATCAGATTAGTTGAGGGCAAAAGCATTTTGTTTAGCCCCCTTCCAACCTGGTTTCAGGCCTGGTTATGGGACTGAAACAGCCTTGGTTGTCCTGGTGGATGACTAGCACTGGGAGAGGGACAGAGGGAGTGTGATTCTGTAGATTCTCCTGGACCTCTGAGTGGTTTTTGATACTATTGATCATGGTATCTTTCTGGACTGCCTTTCTGGGCTGGGATTGGGAGGCACCGTTCTGCGGTGGTTCCAGTCATACCTTGAGGGTCAGTTTCAGAGTGTGGTCCTGGGGGACTAACTGCTGATCTGGCCTTTGGCCTACAGGGTTCCTCAAGGTTCCATCTTGTCCCCCATACTTTTCAACATCTATGTAAAGCTGCAGGGAGAGGTCATCCGGAGGTTTGGGCTGAGCTGCCACCAATATGCAGAGGACACTCGGCTCTGTCTCTCACTACCGGCAGATCTCAGGAAGGCTGTGGAAGCCGTGAGCCCAGAATTGGGTCCACATCCTCACACTGCACAAGCTGAAAATTATCCCACAGAACCGGATAAATAGGCACCTGGAACCATCCGTTCCTGTTGCTCCTAATGTAGACTCCAAGTTGGACAGATGTGTGAGATTTTATCTGCAAAGTGCTAAGCAAAATGATCATAGTGGGCTACAGAGCATACCTCCTCAGTATGTTTTTGGGCCCAATTCTCATTGGCCTTTGGGGCATAAAACTGCTAAGTACCTTGTTGTCAAGAAGTCAGTGAATCAGGAGAAAGAGACTATTTTTTTGTCATTTTCAGGTTGTTTAATATGAGAGCCGTGCCAGTGTAGTGTTTGACTGTTGTACTTGGATCTGCACACCCAGGTTTGAATCCCCACTGCTTCGGAAGCTTGCTGGGTAACCTTGAACTGAGAGAAAGAGGGGGGGGGGCTGGCCCAACATGTCACAGGGTTGTTGCCATCAGAACACTTGCTGTGATGCATTGCCAGCCAAGCTACTTGACAACCAATTCAGAAAGGCTAACAGTTGTACGGTTATAGTTATACTACCAATAGTTCAAATCCTTGCTTGCCATGAACCTTACTGGGTGTCCATGGGCCAGTAATTCTTTCTCAGTCTAACCTCCCTCATCTTGAGGAAAGAATGGAGCAGAACCATTTATACCACCTTGTACTCCTTGGAGGAAAGTCTAGATATATAGTTCCATTGTGCCAGAATTGGGTTCCTTAATATTGACATAGTGTGCTCTGGCAGCAGAAAACTGTGAGCCTTAACCCACTTATTTGGAAGAAGAAGAAGAAGAGATTGGATTTATACCCCGCCCTTCACTACCCAAGGGAGTCTCAAAGCGGCTTACAAACTCCTTTCCCTTCCCCTCCCCACAACAGACACCCTGTGAGGTAGGTGGGGCTGAGAGAGCCCTGACAGAAACTGTACTTTTTCAAGAACAGCTCTTATCAGCACTACAGCTTGCCCAAGGTCATCCAGCCAGGTGCAAGTGGAGGAGTGGGGAATCAAACCCGGTTCTCCCAGATTAGAGTCCGCGCACTTAACCTCTACACCAGACTGGAAGAAAGTTGCATTACTTTTGCTGGAAGAGACTTTAATATTGGAGGTTTATTTTCTTTTTCTACTATTTATCCATTTCTTGAGGGTTAGTTGCTTTAACCATTCCAGAGGACAGTGGTTCTTATTGGACAAACCCTTATCCGGGATGCTCTAGGCCAGTGCTGGCGAACCTATGGCACGGGTGCCAGAGGTGGCACTCAGAGCCCTCTCTGTGGGCATGCGTGCCATCACCCCAGCCAGGCCCAGACCATCATTAAAGTGTCGAGTTCTCTGCCAAATAATTTTAAGTAAATGAAAGCATTTGGGATTGCTTTCCTTACTTTGTTTGGATCATCTTAAGTTAATGTATGAGTTGTTTTTTCTAAAGTAAAACCTCAGTATTCAGGTTAAATTGCCGTGTTGGCACTTTGGGCGCTTGGTCTCTAAAAGGTTTGCCATCACTGCTCTAGGCTAATCCTGCATTGAGCAGGGGGTTGGACTAGATGGCCTGTATAGCCCCTTCCAACTCTGTGACTCTATGATTCTATTGTTCTTGTGTTCATTTTTACTCAGCCGGCCACCTTACATTTGAATGCCGAAACTTTCTCCGTGTGGACCCGAAAAGAGATATCGTTTTAGATGTCAGCAGTACAAGCAGCGAAGACAGTGAAGAGGAGGAGCTGAGTAACCTGCAGGCTGTACCAGAGAAAAAAAGTAAGTTTTGGACATCTTACTATCTCCTGCTTTTTTCCTTTCTTGTGCTCCTCCTGTTAAGTAGTCTCCTTGTACCTACTCATTTCTCACATATGAAGTTGAATGACACAAAAATATTGAGCGTGACTTAAGCCAGGCAACGTTGAAAACTTTGAGACTTATTCCCTGGTTATTTTCCTCCAGCCTTGTTTGCATGAACAAGCTACTCACTGAGAGATATCAGTGCAATTTAAACAAATTTTATTTGTATTACCAGTATAGGATTAATGACTGACTGACTGACAGACCTTTGCCAGGAGAGCGATGGGGGAGTGCTTTTGTGTTGATTCTCTTGGATCTCTCAGTGACTTTCTGTACCATCGACGGTGGCATCCTTCTGGAGAGGCTGGCTATGTTGGGTGGGGCATTGTGCTTTGGTGGTTCTGCTCTTACTTGACCAGCCAACTCCAGAAGATGGTCCTGGGGGACTGATGCTAAATTCTATGGCATTTATGCTATGGGGGCCTGCAGGGTTCCCTCTTGTCCACCATGCAATTAACACCTATGTGAAACTGTTGGGAGAGGTTGGGGGGGGGGAGTTGGAATGAGACGTCACCAATATGTGAGGACAGTTCTGTTTCTCCTTAACAGCTAAGCCAGATGGGTCTGTGGAAGTCCTGATTAAGTGCCTGGAGAGTGTTATGGGATATGTAAATAAACTAAAGCTCAGTCCAGACAATGGGGAAATCTACTTGGGATCTGTGGAGTCAGCCTGTTTTGAAGGGGGTTACAATCCTCCTGAAGGAGAGATCAGTTACCCATCTGTTTCTGGATACAATTCAGAGTGCTGGCTCTTACCGTTCTGGTTGACTCTGGTCATGCCTGATTCGGACTCGGCCCAAAATGAGAACTTGCAAAGGAGGGCAATGGGTGGATGTATGATGCAGCAGGTGGTACGTGTAATTAAAAAAAAAAAAAAAAGACGGCTAAGGGTGTTTGTGGAAATCATAGGTTTATAAAATCTTGTACTGTGTAGATAAAGCTATTTCTTCCTCTTTCAAAATGCTGAGACTTGAAGCTGTCCAACTGACATTAGTGGGCAGTAGATTCGGGACAGATAAAAGGAAGTACTAGTGCAAAGTGTCATTAATTTGGTGGCAAATTACAGAGGATTAGAACTTATGGAGGATGTCTGTATTTATGATGGCTAAATAGAACTTCTGTCATCAGAGACGGTGGGCTGCTAAGTTCCAATGGCCAGAGGCCACAGCAGGGAAGAGTTATTGGAGTCAGCACCCTTTAAGAACTGCTTTCTCTCATATGAACCCACCTGTCCACTTTGGTTATCTTTGGGGGACCTGCTTTTGATGCTCCCTTCATTTGAGGCAAGACGGGTGGTGACCTGAGAAAGGGCCTTGTCAGTCATAGTGCCAAAACTTTGGAATTCCCTCTCCAGGGAGATTAGTCTGTCCTATTCCAGTGGGTGAAGACCTTTTTGTTCTGTTTGGTCTATCCCCAGTTAACTGTTATTGGCCTCCTCCCATTTTTTTTAAATTTGTTTTTTTGCTGTTATGTGTGTGTATACTTGAAATGGTTTTAATGTTGAAGTGTTTTAATGTTTGATGTACACTGTCTTGGGGACTCTGGGTGGAAAGGCAGCATAGAAATGTTTTATATAAATAAATATGGCTCTTTTGCTCCAATTTGGAGCTTCCTGGGAATATCTGTTGGAACGTGCAATAGTGATCATGATGAACTTTTGGTCTTATATGCCAAAGCTCTTAGGTTCTTAGCTGACCCGGTATATGAAAAGGAAGACACATTAATACATTAATCTGCCTTATACTGAATCGGGCCCTTGGTCCATCAGGGTCAGTATTGTCTACTCAGACTGGCAGTAGCTCTCCAGGGTCTCAGGCAGAGGTCTTTGAAATCACCTATTATGTGGTCCTGTCAACTGGAGATGCTGGGGATTGAACCTGGCACCCTCTGCATGCAAAGCAGATGCTCTCCCATTGAGCCACAGGCCCTGCTGACCTTTTAAAGATCATGTTAACTCTTAACGTATGTCCTGCTCATATGAGATGAGGAGGAAAGGTCGTACTCCATTGTGTACAGCAGCTTAAAAATCTAACTTGCTGCTTTTTAACTGTTGCAGCTTGAAGTTGTTGTGTCCCGCTGTGTATTAAGGCTAGAGCAAAACTGGATCATGATCTTTTTTTGCTACACAGTAAAATGTGAATTTATAGTTACCTGATCTGAGACGTCTGTAAGCAGTATAGTCTAATCTTACATTTTGAATCCACAGGTACTACTGAGGACGAAGAAAAGAAAAGGGCTAAGAAGAAAAGCAAAGAAAAACCAAAACTGAAGAAAGGAAGGAAGAGGTATAATTTTAAAAAGTTTTCTGTCACATGTTCCAAACGCAAAGGGAGTGTTTAGAAGAGCCCTATTCTAATCTCTGTACACAATGAAGCCAATGAGAGTTACTGGGGAAATCACTAGGAACCTAGTATTAAAAAGAAATGCACCCAAAAGATTAATATGTTGAAAAAAGTATTGTTGCCACTAAATCCTTGAGGAACCTGTGCAAGTGAATGCATACCTGAGAACAGTTGTGAGTTACTCTATTGGTTATGCTATTTTGCCCCTTTGAGTCCTTTTTGTACGTCCCACTTCCTCTGGAAAACACCCAGGCCTTTGACAGACCTAGGGCAGAAGGATGCTCCAAAGCAGGACAGCGTACACTCAGAATGCCTGTTCATATTTATAAAAAGTGAATATTCACAGTGTTCCCAAAAAGTGAATGTACAGTTGCCTGCTAAGCAGTTTATGTCCTTAAGACCAGCAGTCTGCATTGTTCTCAGAGGACAATAGGAAACTAATGCATATTCTAGAAGAGAGAGTTATTCAGGAGATGCAACTACACTGGCTCAGTGTCACATTATCCACATATTCTTCAGTGTCAATGTTTATGCTGTTTGCTGGCACTCATTGGAGTTGAACGAATGGGGCCTAAGTGAAGACTCTGGTGTGTTTACTTGAATGAACGAGTCCAGCCATAGACTTCATTCTAACATGAAACCTATTGGTTTCCACCTTCTCACTATTAGCTGTTTTGGTAACTCATCTGGATTCTTGTTCGTAGATCTTATTCATCAAGTGCCACAGAAGAGGAAGAGACCAAGTCAAAGAAACAGAAATACCACAAGAAGGAAAAGAAGGAGAAAAAGAGTAAATCCAAGAAAAGGAAACATCACAAAAAGGAGAAGAAAAAGAGGAAAAAAAGAAGAGACTCCTCTTCTGATAGTACAGACTCTTCTAGCAGTGACTGAGAAGCAAAGCTAGGCTGATCTTTTAGTTTTGTTGTGATTATGAGTTGGATCCATTCAAAGAGTTTGTGGAATGAGTTGGCAGAGCAGATCTTTTTCCACCTTCCCCTTCACCAAGAAGCCTGCCATCCGTCCTGAAACTCATCAGGAGACCCTGACCAGCAAAATGTGCCGCAAGATAGGACACTGCAAGAATGGAAGAGAATTTGATATGATTGCCTCTTTCTTCCTCTTCTGCTGGCTCTCACGAGCCAGTCCCCCCCCCCCAGTCAACGCAGCACTCATTCTGAGGCCATTTCAGAGAGGAGTTTTGGGGAAAATCCCTGGTGTGTGTGTGGGGGGGGGGGAAAGGTGAAATTGTGTAGAGATCTGTTATGCCAGCTCCTTCCATGAACCACCCTTTGCTGCATCAAACCTTGTCTTTAGCTCTCTGTGAAGCTGCCCAGTTAAATATATATATATTTTTACTCAAACACCCATCTGTTTTCTCTTTTTTATGGAAATTTACAGAGACTACTTTTCTCTTGTGCATTATGGCTGTTAGTTCATATTTCATGTGTAGAAAGGAAGCCGTTTCAGCTCTTAAGGGTTCTGCTGAAATATCTGCCTTCTGTTCATGAACAGGATATAGCAATGCTAACATCAGGGAGCTGCATCAATAGTGAATTCCCACTTGTGGAATTTTAAGAAAACCACCAAATGGAAACTGATGACTGTTATAAAACTTTTAACACAGATACTAATTGCGCAATAAAAAAAGGACGCAGGCTGTTATCTTGAGCCAGAGTGCTTGCAGTGAGAACTTGTCATTCCTGAAGTGTAGGGCTCCCCCACTTGGCACAATACTGCACTGGTAAGGATTCAGCATGGGGCAGGGTCTTATAGTACAGGCTGTGGATTTGGGGAGGACCATAGAGAGTCCTGCTGTGTATGTGCAGTATGTACATCTCCCCACCACCACTATGCATCTTTGGGTCAAGGCCTATATTGTTGTTTGTGCATTAAGATAGAAAAGACTTTTGAACTGAAGTAGAGGGACCATTTCTTCTAGACTGAACTGGTAATATGCTTTTAAGCACACAAAGATTCCCCCCCCCCCCTTAGTTCAGGGCTCAGAAAGCTTCTTTGCATTAAGATGAAAGCTACTTCCTGTCAATGCAGATTTCCTATTTCCATTTTCTCCCTTGCCATTACAGCTAATATTTGTGCAGAAGACTCAAAGTTCATATATATTTTGTTGGATCGAATAAGTAAATATGCAAAAATACTTTCTGTCCCCTTGAAGATGGTTTTGCTAAATGTTTATTCTGCATTAAATAAATATGTAGTAAGTAAACATACAAAAATACTTCCTGTCCCCTTGAAGACGGTTCTACTAAACCATTATTCTGCAGTGCCTGTTGTATTAAAAAATAAGGTTACAGTGATTCAGGACTGTCAGTCCTGCCATTTCTTTAATACTAGATGCTTTTTATATTGGTCAGGTGTTGGGGTGGCAACAAAATGTCTCTCTGCTTTAGAAGTGATAATCTTACTACTGTATTTATTCGGCTGTTGTTAATACTATAAAATACCTTAACAATGCAGCCCTAAGCAGAGTTGCACCTTTCTTACTCTTCTGAAGTCAATAGGCTTAGAAGGGTGCAACTCTGTTTAGGAATTGCACTGTAAATTAGGTGCTGTTGGAAATACCCTGCCTATAAGCTTACAATTTAACTATTATTATTTATTTATTATTTGATTTGATGTATAGCCCACCGTCCTCTGTACACAGAGCTCAGAGCGGGGAACAACATTTCTAAAAACTTACCATACAATTAAAACATTAAATATTTCTACGGTGCAACGAATACAATAAAATAACAACACTTGACACAGATGGTGTAAAAATATCCCAGGAGGGAGCTGAAATCCTAGAGTCAGCCTAACATGCAAGAAGGGAGAGGGAAAAGAGGGGAGGAGAAAGGGAGGACAGTCTAAGATGGAAGAACTGTCGCTGCCCTCAACCGTAGGCCTGGCAGAACAAGTCCGTTTTGCAGGCCCTGTGGAACTGTATTAGATCCTGCAGGGCCCGGATCTCCTCCGGCAGAGTGTTCCACCAGGCCAGGGCCAGAGCTGAGAAAGCCCTGGTTCTGGTCAAGGATAGCTGGATACTCTCTGGTCCAGGGATCACAAGTAGGTTGTTATTATTACTAGAGCATAATGGGGGACATACCAGGAGAGGCAGTCCTGGAGGTATGTTGGTGCCAGACTGTTTAGGGCCTTAAAGGTTAACATCAGAACCTTGAACCTGGTCCGGTATTCAACCTGGAGCCAGTACAACTGGCAGGGCACCAGTTGAATATGGGAATATGTGAGGACACGCATAGCTGCATTCTGGACCAGTTGTAGTTTCTGGGTCAGTCTCAAGGTTAGCCCTGTGTAGAGCGAGTTACAGTAGTCTAACCTTGAGGTGACAGTTGCGTGGATCACTGTAGCTAAGTTGGGGGGAACAGGAAGGTAGAATGCCAGCTTAGCTACATTTGTGACCTGGACCTCCATTGAAAGGGAGGCATCCAGAATCACACCCAGAATCTTGACGGCTAGTACTGATATTAAACGCATGCTGTCAAGAGCTGGGAGATGGCACCCCCCAAGCCCTCCGTCCCCCTGGTCCAGCCACGGGGCCTCCGCCTTAGCTGGATTTAGTTTCAGCCGGCTCTGTTTTCACCAACCAACCACAGCCTCCAGTCCCCTGGCCAAATTATCTGGGGTGGCCTTCAGCCAGCTGCTCATAAACAGATACAGCTTGGGTGTCATTAGCATACTGGTGACACCCTAGCCCAAAGCTGCGCACCAGCTGAGCAAGGGGGTTCAAAAGGATGTTAAATAACATCGGACAGAGGATTGCCCCTTGGGGAACACCACATACCAAAGGGTATCGTAGTGAAACCCTCTCCCCTAGTGCTACCCTCTGTCCCCGATCTTGGAGAAAGAAAATAAATACAAGCCTTTTTAGGGAGGAAAGGGTAATATTGAAGAGTAGGTAGTCCAATCGGGCTGTTCAAAATGCTGGATGAAATACCCCCTAGACGTTGGAGCTGAAACAGAAGTCTGATACATTTCTAGTGACACAAGGACTGGTTCCACTTGCATGTTTCCTTCCACCTTAGTTTTCTTGTAGCACTTTTGGAAGTAGCCAACCTCCAGGTGAGTTTTGGAGCTCTAGAATTACAAGTGATACAGAGATCAGTTCCCCTGGAGGCCATGGCAGCTTTGGCGGGTAGACACTTTGGCATCGCATCCATGCTTTGCTCCCTCCTCAAATCTCCAGCAATTGCCAAACCCAGAGCTGGCAACCCTACTGTTGTTATCTATTCATCCTGCTGCTACTTTGTTGTGATCTTTCCCAACCCTGGTTTTGGTACAGTTTTTTTTTTTTTTTTAGAAAGGTTACAATCAGAGTCCACTTGGATGCTGTGTGGATGAAGGTACACATTTCTGTGGCTCCTGACCACATCAGCACCATTTTCCTTACCTAAGTCCATGTGGCCATTCTCCCTCCCCCACCTGAGGGAGTTTTCTTTAAAAAAAATAGCTGGATCACTGTACCATTGCAATGCTATAACAAAACCGTTGCACTAATTCCTAGCTTAATTTTTTAAAAGTTGCCCCTTTTGTTGTGGATTTACAAGGGGAAAAGGACAGGGAATATGTTTTCTCTTAATTCTCTGCAATGAAAATTGCTTGAGACTGACCTTTTATGACAGCTGTTACATTGTTGCAATATAGCATCCTAACTTAATGCTGTAGCAATCTAGCTAGTTTTGTTATTTTTTTTTAATACCTGACAAAAGCCCTCCAGTGGTGGTGGGGGGGGGGTACCCACAGAGGGCTGCGAAAAGGAAAGTACAGGCAAAATGTAAATGCCTCTGCATTCACAGCAGCAATGGGAGCTACGTAGAGAGAGTGGTCTGTGTGGAAGCAGCGAGGGGTTTAATCCATTACAATTCTTTCATGTGTAAGCTCTGCTGAAATAAATGGAATTTGCATAGGACATTATTGTATAGATTCTACAAATTTCAGTAAATGGGGTCTACATATGAAACAGCCTTAGTGGATTTTCCCCATTTGTAATTCTCTAAAGGATTTGCTTGTGGCATATTAGGTTTTGATAATGGATTAATTTTTTTCTGAATACCGCAGCTTTGTCAAGTGTAAAGTGCACTGCGTGGGTTTGCTGTATAATCCACAGTGGAGACATTGTAGGGAGACGCTGTCATGTATTCATTCAACTTCTTTTTTTATTTAAAGGGGGGGGGGAGGAATGAGCCAATAAGCATTACTCACAGTTGCATGAAAATTTTAATTAAGTTTTCTATTTTCAGTTTTTAAGAATTTAGTCAGTTATTGCTGAACAGATGGTCCTAGGAGAATTGTGGTGTTTGGAGCCTAATGAAGTACCATGCGTTGTGCTGGGTGGTTGAGTTGAAAAAGTTGTAGCCCGAAAGTGAACAAATGTTAGTGCTGGAATTAGTTTCCTGAGCAACCTGGAAGATTTTTTTGACAATTGTTATCCCTAAAAAAATAAAAATTTCTCCTGAGAGCCATTGTGGTCTAGTGGTTATGAGTGTCGGACTAGTATCTAGGAGACCTGGATTTGAATCCCCACTTGTGCAATGGAAGCTTGCTGGGTGACCTTGAGCCAGTCACACTCTCAGCCTAACCTACCTCACAAGGTTCTTATGAGGATAAAATGGAGGAGAGGAGAACACGGTAAGCCACTTTGGGTCCCCATTGGCAGGAAAGTCAGGGTACAAACGGATTAAATATTAATAAAGGTGTCCAGGGTATATTGTTCAACAGCAATAAATTCTTGATGGCACTATGTAAACCACTTCCAAAAGAATATTCCTTCGTCTTTCCAAAGGCATGATCTTTCCCCCATCATCCTTCCTTAAGTGTGTGTGTATGGTACTTTGGAAGCATTCCTAACAATACCAGTACCTCAAAGACCTAGCCTATTTGGTGTAGTGGTTAGGAGAACACTATAATCTGGGAGAACTGGGTTTGATTTCCCCACTCCTCCACTTGCAGCTGCTGATGTGACCTTGGGTTCTTTCAGAGCTGTTCTCTGAAGAGCAGTCCTTGAAAGAGCTCTCTCAGCCCCACCTACCCCACAGGGGGTCTGTTCTGGGGAGAGGAAGGGAAAGGAAATTGTAAGCCGCTCTGAGACTCCTTTGGGTAGTGAAAGGCAGGGTATAAATCCAATCTCTTCTTCTCTTTCTATCCTTATCTCAAAAACATAGCTTACTAGTTTAAATTCAGCGGTGGGTTAGTTCTTCATGAATATTAATGTATGAGTTACTGGACTCCACAGCTCCTTTATGGTATCTTAGAGCATGCTTTTTAAAAATGTCTATTTACAACCTGAGGGGTTGCAAGAAATGTTGGGAAGCAGAGGACCATCTGGAAATCCCACCCACCCACAAAC